TCCCTAAACAGCCTTGGCTTCAGTCTGCAGGTTATAAAAACAGGTACTATTGTTTTATCAGCCACTGGATGTTTCCTGAGTGGCTGGGGGTGTAGCTCGGTGGTAGAACATGTACTCAGCACATGTGAGACCCTGGAGTCAATCCCCAGCACAAAAACAAACACATACTTTTACTGCGTGTGTTCTGTTCTACACACTGGTGCTTGGGAGGCTCCAGTGAGGTAGCAGCAATGGCTATACCAAATTGTTTCCTGAGCCGGGCCGGGGCTGAGAACTTTATGTAGATCAGTTCGCCTCACCTCACACCAAGCCTGTAGGGGAGCACATCTGTGACCCCGTTTTACATAGAAGGATCACTTAAGAGCACACTTGCCCATGGGCCAGGGAGATGGCTTGGCAAGTAAAAGCATTCGCACGCCGCAAGCTTCCTCCATGTTGCTTGCTAGCTCCTGTCTTGCTTAGAATACTTTTCCTAGGGTGTGGTGGGCAAACACTTAGTGCACCAGGGACCCTGGGTTCAAGCTCCATCACCGCAAACAATCAAAGCAAAAAGACTCTCCAAGGCACGCAATGCTCACCCCTCTGCCCCTGGAGAAGCTTGTGTGAGACCCCAAAGCAGCTGGCATTGGATGGGCAGACCTACAGCTTCAGCCCTGCCAAGAGCCAGGCTGCTGGAGGGAGGCTCCAGGTAGCTGGCTTCATTCGAAGATCTAGCTCTGCCACGTCTGAGCCTGCATGAATTTCAGTTTCATTATCCAAAAATACAGACTGTGGTCCTTATCCTTGCTAGGGAGGTGGGGAGCTTGCTCCTAGGCCCAGAAAGGCCCCAGAACCGTTGAACTGACCTCTTCTAAGGTCCCCGCTGGCAGGGAGATGGCAGCCGGGGCTGAATTACACTCAGCAAAGCTCCAGAGCCAGCTGTGCTGAGCTGGTGGGTGAGAGCTAAAAATAACCTTCACTCTTACAGGGACACTGGGCTGGCCCAGAGGCAGATGGGAGGGGGGAGGGGGGAGGGGGGGAAGTAGGGGTGGGGACACTCACCCACCACCAGGACTCTCCACCTGCAGGGGATGTATGTGTAGGGGGATCCCCATCCTCAGCTCTGCAGAGCTGGCCACAGGCCACCCGGGGAGGGGAGAGCCTGTTCCTTCTGGCCAAGGCGATGGAAAGAGTCCTCTAGCATGGTTGGGTGTCACGCTCATGTGGACCACGGATGTGCTTCTAAGTTTCCTAGAAATCTAATCTAACCAGAATGTTGAAATCATTTTAGCATGCCAGCCACATAAGATGTCAATGAGATAAGCGAAATTCTCCCTCACTATAAAGTCTGTGTTGCAGGATTTCAGCACTTCTCAACTGGGTGCAGCCACAATTCAAGGGATGGTTCATTTCCTGTGGCTGCTGGAACCAAAAACACTGTGGCTCAAAGCCACATTCTCCTCCTGAGGAGAGTCACAGGGTCAGGCCCTGGGTAACGGTGTTCCTTGTGTTTCACAGGCTTGGGGCGTCTCTCTCCACGTCAAGATGCATCCACCTAACTGAAGTTTCTACTGTCACCTTTCTGTGTCTGTCATTATTTTACCTTCTCTGCCTTGGGCTCTTCTGATTCTTGTTATAATCTCCTTGGTGATGACCTTGGGCCCCTGGGCAATCCAAGATACTCCATCAAATGAAGATATTTAACTTAATTACATCTGCAAAACCCATTTTGCCACGTAAGATAAAACATTTTCATGTCCATTTCTGAGCACATGGAGGGCTTTCTTCAGCCTGCCTTACTGCTTTATGGCCAGATGTATTAGTGACCACCATACTGGGCAGGGTAGCTCCAGGGCCAAAGGTGAGAGTATGATCAGACTCCTGCTGAGGCCAAAGCTCAGTTACAGACTAACTGTGGGCCACAGGGCAAGTTACTTCATATCCAGACACGACTATACTTGTCTTCCCTGAGAAACTGATAATCTGTGTCTAGGGTGCTATCAGCAGAAGGTGACATGATTATTGTCTGCAAAGGGAGCTTTTCTGGCTGGCAGGTGTGTGTGTGTGTTAGGAGACCTGAGTTCTGGCAATGTGTGGGTGCTCAGTAGACCTCACAAGGCTTAGTGGTCTCATTTAATAGACGAGAAAACTAAGGAGGAGTGAAAAACTGGCTTGTGATAGGTTGGCACTCAAGGCTGTGGTCTATCACCACCCACCTGGCCAAAGTGCAGAGCCCGGAGATAGCCAGAGACTGTCCTAATCTACAGCAGAAGAAAACAGCACAGCACATGCTCTGAGGGCCTTGGCTTGGGTTGCCCTTTTCACCCCCACTACAAGGTCTATATGGAGCATGAACTTCCCAGGACAGTGGTAGCAGGGAGGAGCTTGTGTTTCAAGTAGATTCCATCTTACTGCTGGGCTGGGGACTTCTCCAGAGATGGATCTGTGCTTGCAAGTGAGAGTATGGAAAGACACTCTCCACACAGAGTGACACCAGAAGGCTCCTGGCTGTACCAGGAAGGCAGGCCGTGGTCAGAAGGCCTAGGCCCACAGTGGCTGGGCCCTTTTGGAGGAGATGCTTCCCAGAGTGGGCCCCTCACTGCCTCCAAGCTCTTTCCTTAAAACCTCTGCAAGGGGTCCTGTCTGGGAAGATGGTCAGTTGGTAAAGTGCAAGCGCAAGGACCCGAGGTCAGTCCCCAGCAACTACAGAAACAGCCAGGAGTGCTGGTGCTTTCTTGAAATCCTAGCGCTGCAGAAATTGACAAGTAGATTCCTTGTTGCCAGCTAGCCTAGCTGAATCTGTGAGCTCCAGGTCACTGTGAGAGACCCTGTCTCAAAAAACAAGGTGATGCCTCCTGAGAAACAACACTCAAGGTTGACCTCTGGCCTCCACCCATGTGCATGAGCAGTCCCCTACAAGCACCTTCACATACATGTACATTTATGTGTATACACACACACACACACACACACACACACACACACACACACAAGAGAGAGAGAGAGACAGAGAGAGAGACAGAGAGACAGAGAGAGAGACAGAGACAGAGACAGACAGAGAGATACAGAGAGAGACAGGGAGAGAAAGAGAGACAAGAGAGGAGAGGGAGGGAGCACCTCTGCTAAATCTTCAAAGTATAGTCCATGCTGGATGGCGGCGGCGGCGCACACCTTTAATCCCAGCACTTGGGAGGCAGAGACAGGCGGATCTCTGTGAGTTCAAGACCAGCCTAGTCTACAGAGAGAGTTCCAGGACAGCCAAGACAAACCTGAGAGAGAAACCCTGTCTTGAAAAACCAAAAAAGAAAAGAAAAAAAAAGAAAAAAACAAACTAAAAGTGAAGAGTATAGTTCTTGTTGCTGTGGGGAATGGATCCAAGTACTCCATTGGCTTGTGGGAGACCGAGGGCCACAGGCAGGGTAGGAAAATGACTCAGCTGACCTCCTCCCTGCCCATCAGAGAGGGGAGGAAAAGCTACTAACTTGGTAGGTGGCCTGGCCCAGCATCTGCCCCACTCTGGATCTTGCTATTGCTCTTGGGTGGGAACTGGTCGGTTATGTTAGCACGGCACCTCTTGGACTTTCCCAGAAGGAAAAGGCTTTGAGACAGGTGTGGCTTGAGGAAAGGACCCAACAGAAAGCCAGTGGCCCAGGTGACTGTACAGCCAGCTCCTGCTGTGCTCCACAAATCCCATCTGTGCCACATGCATGCACTACGCTTAAACACATACATGTGTGTGCATGCATGCCCCAGATGTGGAGGCAAATGAAATCCAGCTCCTGGCACAGGGTCAGTAGGGGATCCCACCCAAGAAGCCTCCCCGCAAGGAAAGAGCGCTGCAAGCAAGAGGCGCCTCTACTGGAGAGGGAGCCTGAAGGGCTGGCAGCTGTTCCAGGAGCACGCCACTTCCCATTCGACTCCCTACCACTCATCTCGTCCCCAGAAGGGCACCACAGTGAGCGGGAAGCCTCTGACCATGGAGGCAGAGGTCTGCCTATTGCCTGCTTGCCTTTGAGAAAATTATCTGGCCTCTCTGAGTTTGTTTCTTCCATCTACAAAATACTGTTTTCAAAAGACAAGAAAACTTACTAAAATATTCCCAGCAGTGCTCTCTAGTATCTGGGATCGTGGTGACTTTTCTTTCTGCTCAGGACTACTTTTATAGCTTTTCTATGAGTGTTTCTCATCTACAAAGAATCTCCAGGTTAAAGGCATGAATCACAGGTGTTCCCACTTCCCATCATTCTCTGTGGGTCACCTGTGGACATGACAATTCGGCCTATGAGCAAATGTTTTCAGGTCCAGCTGCTTGTTTCCTGGGCCACTGTGGGGTTGGCATTGTCCTGCAGAGTTGGCCCTCAGGCTCGGTGCCTTCCAAGGGCTGATAAGATGCACCCTTGTAGTGGGCTGGAGGTGTGGCGTTTCCCGTCATGCTACTTTCAGTGATAATGCTCCACTATCATGTTGGCTTCTCCCAGAGAGCTAGACGATTCAGGAGAGTGGCTTGCATGTCTTGCTATTTCCTCAACAGGGTCTAGGCAGAGATGATGCACACAGCTGCCCATAATGCTTTGCTGGAAGCACAGTGCCTCTCACACTGTGTGAGGACAACATCTTTTCCCATCAGAAGTGAGCCATTAAAGGTGTGGGGACGTAGCTGAGCAGAGCGCTTGTCCATAGTGCAGGAAGCCCTGGTCCCCAGCACCTCATGGAACCAGGCAGGGGACACACACCGATAATCCCAGCACTTGGGAGCTACAGGCAGGAGAATCAGGAATTCAAAGTCATCTTTGACTATAGAATAAGTTTGAAACCAGTCTGGGCTAACTGAGATAAGAGAGGAGAGAGAGAGAGAGAGAGAGAGAGAGAGAGAGAGAGAGAGAGAGAGAGACAGAGAGAGAGACAGAGAGAGAGACAGAGAGAGAGAGAGACAGAGACAGAGAGAGAGACAGAGAGAGACAGAGATGGAGAGGGGAGGGGAGGGGTGGGGATGGGAAGAGAGGAGAGCAGAAGGAAAGAAGGTTCATGGAAGGAGGAATGGTGGTCCCTAGCAGTGTAGCCCTGTGGCTGGGCACTCTGTGAGCAGTCATGAAGGTGCTGTGTGTTGGACACCAGCTCCCGATTTGCATGGCAAGATCTTTACTTGGCCTGGGTGTGCTCCTGTCTGTTGGGAAACTTGGACAGCTAGGTTTAGGTGAGTGGGGAGCTGGAAGGGATATGAGGATCCTGGGTATTTATCCAGAATCCTCTGTGGGTGTAGCTTCACCAGGGAAAGGAAATTTGGAATTCAAGGCTGCTGCTGTTGTTTGTTTCATCTGTAAAAATACCAAAGGTCTTCAACTCCAACCCGCAAGCCTTTCCCGGTACAGCTTCTGGATTTATCTGTTAACACAGGAACTCAGCCCAGGATAGGTCATATTCACACTAGCATCTGACCCTTCTGCCCTGTGGTCCTAGTTCTGAGTCTGAACAGAGAGACTGGACATGTCTCCAGTTTCCACTGACCTACAGAGACCTTCCTAGTAAGGGTGCTCCTCTGCTTCGGCCCCACAGCCTTGGCTCAACATCCATGCCTCTGGACAGTCTTAAGTTGGTCTTGACATTCAGGACCTGCTGGTGCGCTGGCCTCCTGGTGTTGTGTAGTCTGTGTGAAGGGAGCACCTTTACCTTCTCTGCTCCAGTGCTGCTACCCTCACAGAAGCCACAGCCAAGCTGCTGTGGCACTCTGGTCATGCCAGCTGCAGCCCATCCTTGTCTTGAACTGTGGGCTCCAAGGGCAGGGCCTGGAGGTCTATCTACTTAAGTCCTCCAGTCTGAGTCGGTTCCCCTCAGGAGACACCCCCCACCCCTAAGCACTGGTGTCCACAATGCATTTGAGGAACATTGTGTCGTCTTTCACGTAAGCATACTTGGGTGACTGCAGCTTGCTGAGGGGCAAGAAGAGTGGGCAGCCGCTGGCCACGTTGGTCTCACTCTGTGGCCGCTGGAAGGAGGCCGAGCTCAGGTCAGGCCTGAAGGCATCAATGGCATGTTCACGGTTGTTCTGGTCCAGTAGCATAAAGGTGACCTGCAGGGTAGGGGCAGGTGGAGGGTCAGGCCTCAGGACAGTATTTGGGCTCAGAGGGCTCCACGCCCACTGCTTGGGCTGTACCTCTGACCTTGGAGAGGAGATACCATGTTCCACACGGAGAGGGACAGAGGTGGGACGTCACATCTGCACTAGGGAGAGGCCCATGGGGTGGAAGGAACATCTGGTACTGTGGCAGCTTCAGGGTTTGTCCTTCCACTGTCCCACCCAGTGGGAATTGTGTGTGTGCGTGTGTGTGTGTGTGTGTGTGTGTGTGTGTGTGTGTGTGTGTGTGTATGTGTCTTCCTCAATTGCTCTCCATCTTACTACTACTACTATTATTGTTATTATTTTATTCAGACTTGGAGATCACTGGTTAAGCTACAGACGGCTGGATGGCAAGCCAGGGCTCCTCACAGTTCCTCCTTCCCAGTTCTGGGATGGCAGGTACCCACCCCTGGATTTTGGTGTGGGGTCTGGGGAACTGGATTCACCATTTAAGCCATCTCCCTAGGCCCACAGGAGTGGGGGCTCTGATGCCAGAGTTAAACTGGCCACTGAGACTAGGGTGCACCGGACAAGAATGCAGGTCTCAGGCACCTACATGGTGATGTGTCAGCCTCTGCTAGGACCTCCTGCTGCCAGGCAGAGAAGCAAGAGCAGACTGGGGCGGGACTTCTGTCCAAGCCTTGGAACACCCACTGAACTTCTGGTGTACCCAGAGCAGATCATGTACCTCCCTGAGAAGTGGATCCACATAACACAAGCTCTGCCCTGGCACAAGCCATTGAATGTACCCCAGGAAGCACACCGCTTCTCATCACCTACTGAAGCTGCTCTTAAACTTGTTGGCACTAGAATTCCTGGGGAGGGCTTTAAAAATCCCGGTGCTTGGGTCTTCACCCTCCTCCAGAGCCTTCTGTTCCAGGCACTGCAGCTCCCCCCAGAGGGGTGGAGGCCTTGGCCACTGGACTTGCACTCAGCTTTGTTTTATAAAAACAAATTGATTACAGTAAGCCCAGGAGACTTGCCCTGGCCTCGGGTTCATAGCTAAAGCCAGCACTAGGACCCAGGTGTCCATGCCCTCCCCAAACCCGTCTTCTCCTGGGCCCATACCTTGTTCCGGAATGGCCAGGGCAGTAGAGCGTCATACTCTCCTCTCATGATCACGATGAACAGGGACAGGTGGGTCTTCTTGCCTGAGCCGTCACCATTGAGGTACAACCGCAGACACAACTTGTAACCGTACTTGGCAGTGTAGAAAGCTGAAAGGCGAAGCCAGGGTCAGCACAGGGCAGCAGGCCAGAGCTGGGCTTTGCAGATGAGGAGATGGGGTGCAGTGGGGTTTGGGGCCCAGCTCTCTTCTCTAGGAGAGTGTTCAGCCCTTGCTCTTGGAGGTTGCCTTACCCAGGGGTTGGCACCTGGCCTTCTGATCACAGAGAAGGGGCCACACTCGATGGTTCTTGACTCAGCAGTAGGGTTGATCTGGCATGTGTGGTTTTAACACTTCCCTGGGGTGCCATGCTGCCTGCCCCACAGTTACACATGGGATCTACCGTTTTAACCAACCCTCAACTAACTAGCCTAGGAAGGGGAGGTGGCTGGGCATCGTTTTATGTGCTGGGGCAGAATTAGGGTTAAGGCCCATGCTTACCAGATCTTGGCACTGATTTTCTCTGGTGTGAGGAAGGGCACTTTTTGGTTCTGCTATCAACCCTTGGGGATGGCTCCAAGAGGCAAGTTATCCCCGGTGACCCAGTATGCAGGCCTGTGTGGCTTTCTCCCTAATGGTGCATCCTTGGGCAGAGCTCTGCACCCAGCTCTAAGCAGCCCCTCTGGTGGGGACCCGCCTTCTTGGCTTCAGGTTTTTTTTTTTTTTTTTTTTTTTTTTTTGCCTATAAAATGAGGCTGTGAGGACAATCACTTGGCAAGCCTCTCAGATATCACCTCCAGGAATGGCCTGGTTCTGGCAGATGGTGTGGCTTAAACAGACCCAGAGCTGCATGTAAATACTACATGTATGCCATCTACACACACACACACACACACACACACACACACACACACACACACACACACACACGAGCATTTTGTTACCAGTTAGCGAATAACAACAGCTACCAAGTCGCTACTCTGTTAGGTCACTGTTCTCAGCAAGGGACCCAGAAACAAGGAAGAACCACCCAATTCAGCGATGCCCCCGGTCTTCCCCAGGGCCTGCCTGGTCCTCTGCCTCCTACTGCAGCTCCCTGGCTGGAGAGTGACACCGTCTGAACCACTGTCACTGTCGGGAGGCTCCCAGCCCCTTCTCATCCCACAGCCTCTTTGCAGCGTGTGGTTCCAGGGAGGAGAGAGGGCAGCTGGTGTACTGGCAAGAGCCGTGGTTCAGAGCACAGCCTGTGTCTCCCTCAGATCACCCGCAGGAACCCCAGCCTGACACAGCATGGCTGGGCTCGCTTCACGTCTCCCAGCCCCCTGGGGCCCATCTCTCCTACCGGTCTCTGTGCCCATGAGCAGTTACCTGGAGAGAAGAGGCTGACAGTCCTGCCACACACTGACTCATGGCACCGCCTGGTGACATTGGTGATCTTCCACAGGAAGGTGCCATCGAAGGAGGCCTCCTCCATGAGTCTCAGGCTCTGCTCAAGTTTGCCCAGGACCTGATCTTTCTGGGCCAGGGTCTGCTGCAACTCCACCACCTGCAGGGAAGGCTGGTCAGCCAGAGGCACCAGCACCCAGCTTGGGGGACTGGTGGGGATAGTGGGACACGGGCTACATCACCTCAGAGAGGCTTTCCTGACTGTCACCCAGTGCCTGCGCCTGTCCCATGCTTGGGGTCCCTTTCTCTTCTTGCTCCCCTGCCTAGTCATCCATTCATCAGGAGCCCAGCTCTCCTATCCCTTCCCGTAAAGCCTCCAGCCACTGTCCCAGCTGGCTAGTCTTCTCCATTGTGTTTCACAGCTCCTCCAAAGACTTCCTCCTCCTGTCCAGCCTGTCTCCTCATGGTGGGCTCCTTTCCTGTCTGTGTCCACACCTTGCGTGGTGCCCAGCTGTAGGAGGGGAGCCAGAAGTCTGATGGTGAGATGGGAACCCTTGCTGCCCTCAGGGACCCTACTTTACAACCGGGCCAGGGTGTAAATGGTATAAACCGAGCATCTTCCTGGCCATTTGAGCCCAGTGCCTGCCCCTGCTAATAGGTTTCCCCAAAGAAATCTGAAAGAGTAAACTTGAGTTGTGAGAGAGAAGGTGAATGTCTCAGACCTAATTGGCAGGGTGTGGTAGGGATGGAACTAAAGGCATGCCCAGCTAGGTGGGAGACAGTGAAATAATGTTGCTGTTTTCAAAAGGTGACAGGAGCCTGGTGACTGGCCACATCAGGAAAGTATAATCTCTGGAATAGAGGGGGTGGACTGAGAGCCTGGGACTACACTCTGCATGTGGACTCCTGTAGAGACTGAAGCTGAGCACACCAGGACATCATGGCCCACCATGCTCTCAAGAGCAGATGAGGGCACTGAAGGGAATAGTCTGTTGGGATATGAGCATTGACTGTCTGCTCTGGAGAGAAGCTGTGGGGACGAAAAAGCGGGTTGCTCTGTGGGCTCTGAAGGCCACAGCCAGGAACAATACATGGAAAGCACAGCTTTATGAAAGGAGGAACTTTGTAACAGTGAAATTGCCCAGCGATGGAATGGGTAGAGGGAGCGGGTGGAGGGAGAGTTCCGGGCCACTTCTAAAGAGAAGACCTGAAGCACTGGATAGCACGGCATTGGCTTTTCCCCAAGCTGATACAGGGTCTTCCTAGTAGGTCCTGGGATACAGGGGAGATCTGGGCTAGGATGGAGGCAACTGCTCTGAGCAGGATGAATGACTAGAAGGCTGGATGGCACAGGGGCTCCCTGAGCTGACGCCTAGAGCACACGCCCATCTCACTCACCCTCTGCTCCAAGCTCAGGATGTGCTCTCGGTCCAACTGGCTCTGGTGGATGGAGGCGGCCAGTGCCAGGTGGGAAGCCTCCACCTCCTTGTTGAGGACAGCAACGATGTTCTCAAACACACGCAGCTTCTCCTCCAGCTGAGCCAACTGCTTCTCTTTCAGGAGGTGCCACAGGGCCTGTTCATCCTGGCTCTCACAGCAAGGTGCCCGGTAGCAGTCTACCTCCAGGTCCCCAGTCACTTCCACAGCTGCCCGAAGCTGCAGCTCTGACAGGTTCCGCTCCAGTGCCATGGGCGTGGAGCCCAGGTTGGAGCCTGGCAATGACTTCCACTCCTTTAGGACCCCCAGAAGCAGGTGCAGATGGGAGGCCTGAGAGGAGGCCTCATGCTCCTGCATGGATTGTGGGCTCCCCTGACGAGAGAGTGAGAGTCGCTAGTGAACAGCGAAGTGGAAGGAGACCCTGGGGACCAGTAAGGAGATGTGGCATCAAAGGCCACCAAGCAGAGCCAGATCCATTATCCCAGCAAAGGGGAAGTGGCTGTCTGTATGGGGAAGGGCGGGAGTGGGTGGGTGGAGCCTTGTGCAGGAAGACAGTTCTTAGATACCCCCATGCAGCTAATGTATCCCAGTCTCTAGCGTGACCATCCTGTCCTGCCCTTGAGCATAATGATGATTCAGGACCATGGAGAGGGGTGTGGGGCCATGCACTTGAGTGATGCTACAACAAGGCTTAGGCAAGGCATTCAGAAGAACTTGCCGTAGTACAATGACTTAATAGTTAGATTTGTTACCTGGTAACTCATTAGCATGGGAAACATTAGAGGAGTAGCTTGGTGTTTTGGGAGGATTTGGAGAGGGAGAGACATCTGGGCTGAGACCGTGGACAGATTTGACATGCTGTCACTTACCTTGAAGGAACAGCCAACACTTGCAAAGGGACACATGACTCCAGTCTCAGCCACCTCAGGGTGAACCTGGAAATGATAACTGTGTCACTGGATGCTGGGAGGCATCCCTGGGGCTCCCCCAAGGGCTCACTGAAAGAAACAGTGGCCGGAACTGGACAGGCACATGACTCGGCCCCCTCTGTTCCTTCTGCCTGGCTGACCCTGTTCCACCTTTGGAGTCTCGACCCTGCTGTAATTACAGAAAGAGGACCAGAGCCCTGCTGTCATTTGGAACAGCACAGTCTGTCCTGGAGCCAGGCCTCATTCTTCGGTTTCAGATGCTGAAAAGAAACTTCACAGAAAGAGCTGCATGAAGGTGGAGTATGCATGTAACCACACTGAAAGAGCACTGCTCCCCATTTGTCAGGACAGCTGGGATAGAGTGACAGGGCCATCCCCACAAGGACCTGGGCCACAAAAGCAAAATCGTATAGACACCTCGGAAATCTTACAGAAGTAATTTATATTATTATTATTATTATTATTATTATTATTATTATTATTATTATTATTATTAATACAGGGTCTCACTCTGTAGCCCTGGCTGGCCTGGAACTTGCTATGTAGAACACTCTAGCCTTAAACTCACAGGAATCTTGCCACTGTCTCCCAAGTGCAGGGATTAAAGGCAAGCACCATCACACCCAGCCAGCCGTGAACTTCTGATCCTCCTGACTCCCATGTCCTGAGTGCTGAGTATAAGCATGTGTCACAAATCATGGTTTATGAGATAGAGGGGACTGAACCCAGGGCCTTGTGTGCCACATAAGCATTCTACCACTGGGCTACATTCCCAGTCCTATGGAAGTATTTTGCAAAAGCCAAGCCCTACTTACTTAATTCACTTGCTTATAACTTATAATCGACCTACAGATGACCCACATATTCCACTCCCAGGAATTTACTCAACAGAAACAGAACCTCATGTCTACACAGAGATGTGTGTGAATACATACAGCAGCTTAATTTGCAGCAACCCTAACCTGAAAACCATCTGAGGACAGCCAGAAGGTGAATGGATCCCAAATAGTGTCTTCTCCCTACAGAACCTACTCAGCCATCAAATGAGATTAATACTAACATCTGCTATAACATGGAGAGACCTTGAAGCCATTATGTTAAACAAAAGAAGTCAGATGTTAAAATGAACTGTCTCCCAAGTGCTGGGACTAGAGTCATGCACCATCACACCCAACCAGCCTCCATTTCCTGAGTGCTGAGTATAAGCATGAGTCACAAATCTTGGTCTATGAGATACAGGGGACTGAACCCATTGCTTTGTGTGTACATACATCTCTATGTAGGCATGAATTTCTGTTTCTGTTGAATTTCCGGGAGTGGCATATGTGGGCCATCTGTAGGTCGATTATAAGTTGTAAGCAAGTGATTTAAGTTCGGCTTTTCGTAAAATACTTCAGAGGTTGGGAATGTAGTCCAGTTGGTGGTATGTACTCCAGGACATCCTTCATTAAGGAAGTTTATGGGAGGCAACATGGTCCCGACAGGCAGTAGACATGCTGCCTGTCCCCAGCCCAGAGTAGGCCGTGTGTGCAGGGAATGACCAGCTCTTTGTGGGACAGAAGCATTTGCCATCTCGGCAGTGGGGAGTTAGCTGATCTTGGACATTAGCCAGGACTTTATCAAACTGTGCACTTAAAATGACATTTTTCTACATGTAAAATGATAGCTCAATTTTATGAGAACTTTTTTTGTTTTTTGTTTATTTGTTTTTTTGAGACAGGTTTTTTTTCTGTGTAGTTTTGGTGCCTGTCCTGGATTTCGCTCTGTAGACCAGGCTGGTCTCAAACTCACAGAGATCTGCCTGGCTCTGCCTCCTAAGTGCTGGGATTAAAGGTGTGTGCCACCACCGCCCAGTGAACATTTTTTTTAAACAGAATAATCAAAGAGGATTGGGGTGAAAGGAGGGGAGGCCAGAGGGCTTCAGGACTGAGCGAATACCAAGCCACAGGGCTCATTTTTCTCAAGGTTGATTCATATGGTAAATTTGGGATGCAGAGCCCAGTCTACAAAAGGTTCACCCACCTGCCACACTGCCCTCTGCTACAAGGGACAGGCTGCTCCCAATCAAGAATAGGAAACAGATCCGGGCAGTGGTGGTGCATGCCTTTAATCCCAGCACTTGGGAGGCAGAGCAGGTGGAGCTCTGTGAGTTTGAGGCCAGCCTGGGCTACAGAGTGAGATCCAGGAGAGGCTCCAAAGCTACACAGAGAAACCCTGTCTCAAAAAACAAACAAACAAACAAACAAACAAACAAACAAAAAACAGAGAGAATAGGAAACAGATGTTGATGGGGACAGGCAAAGGGTGGCCCTGGCAGGGAGACACACTGGCTTTGGGAATCTGCCTCAATATAGCCTCTCCAATAGGTTGCTATTGATGACATGTGGCTAAGGGACACTAGATGGGACACTAGATGCCAGGTATTTCGGACCTAGGACCCTCTAGGGCCCTATGATTCCATGTTTATGGTTCCCATCCTTTGTGGCTTGAAGTTGACAGTCCCCAGAAGAATAAGGAGAAGAAAGTGGGACAGTTAACACAGAATTCGGGCATTGCCACACAGTGGGATGTATCCGTGGATAAGCAGGACTTGTGGGCAGGACAACCTGCTGTGGGCTGTGTGGATGTCTGGCTTGTCCTAATGATGAGGCATGCGCAGGAGTTTACTGTGACTAGTCTTGAATGCTGAAAGATGGGCAGAGGTAACTCAAGAGGACTTCTGAGGCCCTAGGGTCAGCCAGCCGGCAGCTCTGGTCACCCATCACTCACTCTTTACCACATCCTGGGATATGGGCTCCAGGAGGCATCCTGTGTATATACACTGCTGCTGTCACTACTTTGTGGTGTCACGGCAAACAAACAAACAAACAAAACAAACAAACAAACAAACAAACAAAAAACAGAGAGAATAGGAAACAGATGTTGATGGGGACAGGCAAAGGGTGGCCCTGGCAGGGAGACACACTGGCTTTGGGAATCTGCCTCAATATAGCCTCTCCAATAGGTTGCTATTGATGACATGTGGCTAAGGGACACTAGATGGGAGAGTTACTTAGTTCTCCAGGTTTAGTTCCCCATCTGCAAAATGAGTAATACTAACCCATCTGATAGCTATTACAAGAGCATGAGGTAATACACATAAGTGCTCATATTGTTCCCTCTCGTAGCTGTGACGACACCAAACGGTTTAACACGATACAAACTTACAATCTACCACGAGGTTGCTGGCAGCAGCATGTCCCCCGGAAGCTGCCTGCAGCCCCTGGCTTGTGGGTTCTCTCTCCATTGTCAAAGTCAACATCCCCTTGCTGTCTCCTGTGGATGCCTGTCTCCTCACGAGGACCTTGTGGTTATACTGTGCTCACCCAGGTAGTCTAGGGTACTCTCTCTACCTCATCTTCATGCCTACAGAGTCTTTTCAGCTTGGTCATTTATGACTGCTCCTGCCAGGTCCCTAAGTCATGTACAAAGCATTCGGGGGCTGGTTTTCCACTTGCAGTTCAAATGGAGACAATGCCACCCATCTAGGAGCACAAAGTTGGAGTTTGGCTTTGCCATATGATTTAGGTTCAGGTACCAGCATCTCTTTTGCCTTGGGCCTTCATATATCACCTATTAATAAATCAAAGGCACCAACAGGATGCTGCTGGAGTGCTAAGATTTATAGATGCAAACTGTCACATTTAGGAGTGTGAGGGTAGGGAGTTCATACTAGTTAGCACACTTTAGAGAGCACATGTCACATGTGTAAGGGTGGAGTCACACTGGTTAGCACACTTCAGAGAGCACAGACACACACAGAGACTGGGGAGAGAAGCAGGAGGGACATGATTAGTGTTTTCCCATATACCAGGACCCTGGGAACAGAAGACTGACTGGCCTTCCTTGAAAGAAGCCTGCTTGAGCTCAGTACAAACAATGAAAGAAGTCATGGTTGCAGTTGGAACCCACCGCATGTGGAAGGGTCACTTTACAGTTCTGCAGTTCTCTGTTTGAAAAGACATAACCCCCAGCGGCAGAGCCTGCTACATGTACACACTGGAAGTTAGACCAGGCTGCTTAGACTCCTGCCATTTAGGGTTCTAGAAAAGGCCATGGCATTACCATGAGCCACAAACCAGTCTTCCTGACTGGACCTCAGAGGGAAGAATGTGAGAGAAAGTTTCCTCCCCGGGGTCTCAGCAAACAGAATCAAATGTTATTTCCTAGTTACTGGTTGGCTTTGCTTGTGTGCGCTTGCGCTTGCGTGCACACATGTGCTTGTACCCAGGTGCACATGGAGAGCAGAAGAGGACATCAGTGCCCTGCAGTATCACTCTCCACCTTGAGACTCAGTCCCTTGAGACAAGGTCTCTCACTGAACCTAGAGCTAGTCTGGTGGACAACAAGCTCCAACAATCCTCCTGTCTTCACCCCTCACATCGCTGGTGTTACAAGTGTGAATGGCCAAGCCCAGCCCCCCGCCCCCCTTTTAAGAGGGATGCTGGGGATTTGAACATGGGTCCTCATGCTTACACAGCAGGAACTCTGATCTGCCCAGCCCTTCCCCAGCCCCCACCTCCTGCTTTGTCTCCTTCCTTACTGTCGATTGTCCAGGGAGGTCATTCCAGGCAAGAATGGCCTCTCTACGCCATCATTGACCTCCTAATATTTGCTTGCTATGTTTGTAACCAACTGATGCGTCTGGGCCCTACGTAAGGAGATGGTGATTATTAAGGACTCAGGGCAGGACAGACTGATAGCGGCTGGCATGGGGAGGGTTTGTGAGATGGGCACCTTAGACTGAACTCAGCTGCTCTCCAGCCTGGCCTCCCTGCCCAGCTTCTGTCTCCTAGGTACCCCAGACGTGCAGACAAAAGTTGGGAGTTACCACATACAAAGGACTGGCTCAGTATTAGTCACTTTCCTTATGTTAAAAGTCCCCTAAAGTTCCCATCAGGGCAGGATCAGAGGAGTAACTACTGTGTGTAACTACCCTGTGGCCCATGCGCGCAGTGCTCTTAACTACTGAGCCAGCTCTCCAGTACCTTACTTTGTCTTAAGGCAGCAAATTTCAATCTGTGCTCTTGCTGAGCCTTGGAAGTCCCCCAAGTCTCTTAGAGGCTGGGACAGGAGAAAAAAAGGGTTAATATTGTTTGATGTTGGGTCATAGGTGCCACAGTAGAGAGAGAAGTTCACTAAGATGCCAAACCTTCACTTTCTGAAGGAGAAGAGGGGTTCAGCCTTCTTGGAAAAGACTGACATCCAGCTAGATCACTCCAGTTACTTTACTCAAACACACACAAGGTTACTGGGGGCTGGGAAAGGTTCCCACTACCAGTCATCTTGCTCTTGCTGCCCATGGGAGCAGACAACCCACACGAATCTCTGTCCCTTTTGATTATGGCAAGCCATAATCAGAAGTAAGAACTCCAGGTCTGCCAGGAGTGTCTTCAAACCAAGGTCGGCGCAGCTGCAAACTCTCAGGTAGCACCAAGTGCAGATTCTCCAGAGAAACACTTCTCCAAAGTTTCAACAGTCTCGAAACAATTTCTCAGACTCTACTGATGAATCCATACATAGCAAAGGCTTTGCTACAACGTTTCTCTCAAAGCCAGACACAGGGCCTTACTATACATTTCACTTAAGGCCGGACACGAAGGCTCCGGGCTGTCTAGGAGGACTCGGCTCCAGGCACTCCTTGCACCCAAACCTTCTGCCTGTATTGAGTTTTATCTTGATTAAGATGAAAAAAAAAATCCAAAAAACAAAAACTAAAGATGCTAGATGAAATGACATTAAAGTATATCTGGCCCATGTTACCTAACATTTATATAAGTGGTGTGTTTTAATTTTGCCAAGAGGACAGAACAATCCAATCCTTGGGAGGCACAGGGCTCATTCCTGCGCTGTACATGTAAGGTGCAAAGGCCCACGGGAAGGGGTCTGTGTCTGCTCCTGTGCAGAAACTGGTCTATTAGAGACAGCCAGACAGGGAAGCTCAGCAGTTCTTCCATGGAGATGAACTTGATTCTTAGTATTATTCTCTAAGGGCCCACTGGACGGGGAGGCTGCTAAAAAATGGGAGGGAAGCCCTTCAATTAGCTCTGGGCAGGGCAGGAAGTCCCAGCACTTTCTGAATGACAGGGACTGGTGCAAAGAAGGGGGACGGGTGGGGAGCCCCTTCTGCATCTGGGCCGATGGGACGGAGGGAGGGGTGTCCTGGCAGCTGTTGACCTGTGACTCAGATGTCATAGATCCTGGGAAGAACCTTCTAGAACCAACTTTTCGGCTTCATTTTACCAATGGAGAAACAGGGTCTGGAAACAGGTTTGCCTCCAGCCAGGCACTGAGGGACATAAACCCATGCCTGCACACCAAGGTCTGGATCCATGGGCCACTGTTCACTGCTGGGGGGAGCTTCAGCCGAAAGCAGCTTCATTTGTCTCACCATGGGGACAGAGAGGATGACCAAGCAGAGATCCTGGCCACCGAGGAGCTCTGGCATTTCAAGTCCCAGCATGTCTTCCTCATGCATCATCCAAGAGGTCAGGTTTTACGCAGTGACTCCTACATGGTTGGGCTTCTGGACCCACACAAATTTTGTTTGGAATTTTTTTTTTTTTTTTTTTGGCTTTTTCGAGACAGGGTTTCTCTGTGTAGCTTTGCGCCTTTCCTGGAACTCACTTGGTAGCCCAGGCTGGCCTCGAACTCACAGAGATCCGCCTGGCTCTGCCTCCCGAGTGCTGGGATTAAAGGCGTGCGCCACCACCGCCCGGCTTGTTTGGAATCTTAATTGTGAGATTAACATAAAGATCACTGTCCTTGTTCTGTATCTGGTAAAAAGTTTACCCCAAATTCTATCCACCTTCATATCCCTTCACAAAACCCTACGGGAAGGACACTCACAGAGAAGATTGGCTCTCTCAATGGAGATAATTTAGCTTATAGCACTGAATACAGTCCTATTTTTTTTCATTTCATCGTGAGTTAGTGGGACCTGAAAACCTCTGGGCTACACAGATACCCTACGAAGGTCCTTTCAGCTTGGTGGAGAGGGAAGGACCCGATTTCAAGGCTGCTGCATAAACCTGTCTCTCTGGCCCCTTCCAAAGGTCCAAAGGTGTCTCCTACTCCCAGACACACTGAAGGAGATGAGCCGAAAATGGCCTCTCTCTTTATCAGGAACTGGCTGATAAAGAGAGTTTCTCAAGTAAGGGGCCAGAGAGTCTATTTTGGGGTTTTGAAATTTCTGTTGTAAGTGTTCAACTCTGCCACTGTAGGGAGAGAGCAGCCACAGAAAATATGTGGGATTGAGGGTGGTTAGATACCAGCAGAACTTTCTTTATGGACATAGAGTTTGCATGTTATAGAGTCCTTATGAATTCCTGAATACATTTTCTTCCATCAATTAAAGACATATAAACCATTCCTATCCCGTGGGCTGTATATAAAACCAGGAGATGGGCTGGATTGGGTCCAGGAGCCAGTTTGTGGACCCCTGGTCTAGAAGGTGCTTCCAGTTCTAAACGGATCAGAGCCTGCCAGGTGGCTTAGGGCACTGTGCTGTCATCACTGTGAGCACCTGCCTCTGCCTTGCTCAGAAAGTGAATTCACTGTAGGCTCAAGACAAAGGACTAATGCATCTGCACCTGTCAGGGGCCACATGGGCCACTACCCACTTTGTCTCTACCTGGACAAGTCTCTCTGTCTCTCCCTCCCTCTTTCCTGCTCTCTGTAGAAGCCAAAGGACAACCTCAGGAGTAGTTTTTCAGGTGCCTGCCACCCACCATTTCCCCCCTTTCTTTTGGAGACAGGTCTCTGGGCAGCTGGAAACTCACTCACTGTGTAGGCTTGGCTAGCTGGCCATGCGCCCAGGGGTCCATGTGTCTCTCCCCAGACTGGTATTGCATATATCACCACACACATCAGTCCCCGGAGGTGGCCAGATGGTCTTCCCTGTCAATGCTAACGTACCTTCTCCGGAGTCAGAGGGCTTCCTGGGCTCACAGGCTGCAGGCTGTCTGCTCTGCATTTAGGACAGATCCGATCTTCACCATCTCTGGGGAAACATGAACAAGATTCTCAAATAATGCACCACACCTTACTGGCACCTGCTATTGTCACTTGCCACCGTCCTGACAGACTTCAAAGCCCAGACCCTGCCTCTTGTGGTAATTCCACCATCCAGGGGCCCCATTGTCAAAGCTTCAAAGCCCTGGGTGGGCATCCACTGTTTTCCTGAAGTCCCATCTGCTGTGACCGGATGGTGGCTTTCTTCACCCATGTAGTGATTATGGATGTCTCACTGTAGAAATGCCCATCGGAGCACCTGGTTACAGGGTCTCTCCTGGAAGAATTATCCCATGCACTGAGTTGCAAAAATTCTGAATCCCCGTACTTCCAATCTCAAAGGTTTAGGCAAGGGGTTATGGGTATGGGACTCCATTTGTTCTTCTCAATGCCGTGTATGTGGTTCTGGTCTCTTACTTTTTGGCCATGGCAGGTGACCGTGGCCTATTAGGACAAGAGGAGGACTCAGGGTCTATCTACCTGGAATGGGTGTCAGATTAGGACCAGGGTGCAGTGTGGACACCTGTGTCAGCAGTTCTAACAGTGAGTGCTGCCAATTCAGCCCATTTCTAGGTGAGGAAAACCAGGCCTCAGAGAATGAGGCCTTGGATGGGCCACGGGAGGGCAAGGCAAACGCAGAGCAGGGCAGAGGCCCCTCAGGCTGCAACCCTGCACTTTCCTGTCAGCTTCTGCTCCCTCCTCTTCCAGGGCTTCCTGGGGGTAGGGGGTGGGGAGGTGGGGGAGGGTGGGGAGTGGGGGATGGGGGGGTGGAGGGAAAGGAGATGTCAGTTGTGGCCTCCACACCTACCTGGCCTTTCCACAGCTACAGCCTCCTTCAGCCTCTCCCCTTAGTCACTGAATTTGACCTTCTCATTTGACTGATTTGGTTTCCCCACATTCTTAAGCTGTAAGGTCCCAAAGGAAAGGTCATGACTGTGGCCCAAGGCCATTTACAAGTATCTTCACCAGGAAACTCCGGAGGCAAGCCTTCATGTGGGGGGGGGGGGGGCTTTGCAATTCTCGTCTATACAGCAGGGTAGTAATTGTACTGACTTCCGCAGGCTGACCTGAGGACGCAGGGGTGGAACACTTGGCCCACAGCAACTGCTCAAGGCAGGGTGCTAATGTTGTCACATCTCAGTTATTTACACTTTAGGCATAAACATACACCCTGCTGCATCATTGCCCCCATTAGCTGGGTTTAACAAAACAAAATAGTGTTTTATCACAGTTTGGTATTTGCCATAGGGGCCTACATTCATTGTTGTAAGAAGTTTGGGGAATATTATTGATGGACCCTTGTCACAATTTTGTGAGGCGGAAGGAAACTCCACAGGTAAGAAGTCAGGGTTCGGAGACACCCGAGGTTCAAGCCAGGCTACCCAGTAGGGAGAGTAGAGCTTAAAGTTCTACCTCAATAATGATGGGTGCACAGACAGTTTTCTGTGGCTAATGAGCTATCTGCCCCCAGCCCGGGGCGGTGTTCGGAAGAAAGGACTGTGGGAATAGAGGCCTGGAGAGGTGAAGTTGCCTGCTGACGGTCAGCAGTTCTCTCAAGTCCCCTTCCCATCAGCAGTCGCTCCCTGGCAATCCTTCCCACCAGCCCTAGGCTCTTTGGCCCCTCACCTCAGCTTCTCAGAGAGACAGGCCGTGCAGCAGAGAACCCTGGGCTCTGATTGGTCCTGGCAGGCAGCCGGTGGGCAACCAAATGGAAACTCATTTTCATCAGGGGCTGGGCGGGGACCGCTGGCTGAGCTGGAGGCCATCTTGAGGGTCTGTCAAGTAGAGCAGAGGACCAGCCTTGTGGAGCCTGTGGAGAGAGGTGGGTTCCAGCCTGGGCCACACTTTCTGTGACTTTATCTTCTCCTCTCTGGCTGCGGGGTACAACGTCACAGCTGAGTCACAGCAGGGATGGAGTAGGAATTACCCTTTGTGGTTAGAAAAATCCCCTGGACAGAGACTGAAAACTTTTAGGAGTGTCCAGACATTTTTCAAAGTGAGAAAGAGCAAGAGACAGTCATAGGAAGAGAGCAACGTTCTCCAGAGTCACGGTTCCCCTGCCTGAGAACCACAGGCTGCTGCCGGCTTCCTCTATCTCCTTCCCAGGCACTTTGGTGGAGAGGCCACGGTTGGCCACTTGTCTTGCCCCCACCCTGGACCTCTGAGCCATGTAGAATTCTCTGGAACAGTGGGGCTCAGCTTTCTGATGGAAACCCCAAGAGTCCTAAAATCAGGTCCAAAAGTCAAGTTCTGAGTCCTCCAGGGTGTCTGGGTGGCCTTTAAATGCCACTTTCTCACACCGTCGCTCGGTTACCCCATCTTGAGAAAACAGATTGCGGCAATGGTCTGTAGGGCTTATGACTGGGGACCCTATGACTAAGGCAACCAAAGGTAGCAGGAAGGCCTCTGACGGCCCCGCCCTCCTGTGGCCTTGTGCATCAGTCATGGTGGTGACAAATGAACAGGACCCTCCCCTCCCTTGAAGTTCAAGGCGTTGGCACTGAGACTGCAGAGCCCGCTTCCCAAGCCCCGCTCAGGAAGTCATAGGTGGCTATGTATCTGGTCAGGAGCCACCACTTCCCTGTCGAGAAGGAAGTCCAGGTTCATGTGGATTTGCTCTCAGTCACCAAGCGGACTGTAGATCCATATGTGTGTAAAGGGTGAACACGGAAAAACACTACTCTGGCTAGCCATTGTGTGCTGGGCAGACTTTTTCCTCTAATCCTTACAATTTTCTCTGTAGCCATGTACAGCTGTATGAAGCAAGGCGTGAGGCTCAGAGACACACAGCCTGAGGCTGAGCATTGGGATCTGAACCATGTTCTGTTCTACCATGAATGAGGTAAGAACAGGCAGCATGGTGAAGTCTCAGAGTCTGGGATCTTGGTCAGAGCATCCAGCTTGTCTCAGACTGTCAAATGACAAAGATGGCCTCCATATACCTTTCTACCCAACTGTACTGCATTAGGGTTTGTAGATGTACATGCTGCTTTCAAACCACAGGCTCTGAGTTCAGGCAGGTCTGAAGGACTTCTGGATCCACCACATACATGGTCTTTTAATATTTATTTATTTATTTTGAGACAGGGTCTCACTACACAGCCCTGGCTGGCTTAAAGCTCACTCTGTAGACCAGGCTGGCCTTACACTCACAGAGATCTGCCTGCCTCTCCCTCCCAAGCGCTGGGAGTAAAGGTGTGCGCCACCATGTGCCAACATGCACCACTATGCCCGACTCGCCACATCCAACTCTCCACACAGCCTTAAATGTGTCTGTGCCTCAGTTCTGTATCTGTGAAATGGGGGATAAAAGCATGTATTTTACCCAATTGCCAAGATGACCAAATGAGATGGTGGGTGTTCTAGTTTTATTTCTCTTGCCATGATAAACACCCTGGCATAAAGCAACATGAGAGAAATTTATTTGGCTTACAATTCCAGGTTAAAGTCGGTCATTGGGGGGAAGTCAAGGCAAGAGTCTAAACAGCCAGTCAACTCACATCCACAGTCAGGGACAGAGGAAAACAAGAGCATGGATGCTTGTTCCTTCACTGTGATCAGCTCACCTCTCCACTCACACAGCCCAGAACCCCCTGTTTAGGGAATGGTACCACCCACAAGGGGCTGGGTGTTCCTGTATGAATTAACTTAATTATGACAATCTCCCACTGTGTGCCCGCAGGCCAAACCAGCATAGACAATCTCTCATTGAGACTTCCCAGGTCATGTCAAGTTGACAATTATAGCTAACCATCAAGTAGGTGAAAGTGTGGCAGGGGTTGTGGCCCAAGTGACATGTTCCAAAAACTTTGGTGCTTTACTCGGGCGATGACCACACCCTTCTTGTTCCTCACAATAAGGAAAGGGGTTTTAAAATGGCAAATTACGCATACACAGTGGTTTTCCTCTCTCAATTTCCTTGAGCCTCCCAGATGGGCAGAGAAGTTTAGACTCTGTGTTCAGTGGGTCTCCACCTTCCCAATGCTGCGACCCTTTAATACAGCTCCTCATGTTGTGGCGACCCCAACCATAAATTATTTTTGTTGCTATTTGATAACTGTAATTTTGCTACTGTTATGAATTATACTGTAGATATTTGAGATGCAGGATATCTGATATTTGACCCTCGCAGGGGTCATGGCTCATAGGTTGAAAACTACTGCTCTAGATAAACTCAACTGTCCACCATCCCCAGGACGGTACCAGAACATCTAGTGGCCATTGGCAGAAAGGTCACTACATCCTATAGACTTCTATTCTCAACTGAGCCCTGCTCAGCCTGCTCAGCTAATGACCTTGGGCTTACTTTCCCACTCTCAGAAAGGCATTCCCTTAACTGCTCGGCATGAGCAACAACCCCCTGCACCTCCACATGTCCCCTTCTTCTCCTGTTGGGACACAAGGGAGGCACCCAATCTTGTTGTTCCATCTAGCTTCTGGGTACCTTTCTCTTGTCCTATCCCCTGACCCCTTCACGGATTCCCCATCTACCAGTCCCTTCCCACCAGCATTAAACATCCCTAACAGTCTGTGAGTAAGATGAGAGGCACTGCTGTTGAGTGCTGTGTGTTAGGTGGTTTGTTTTTCTTTGTACTGGGATCAGACCCAAGTTCTTGCTTACTGAGCCACATCTCCAGCCTCGTTTTAAGTACTTTTACAAACATCTCATCAACATTTCCCTCCAGTCTTTGGAGGCCCCTACTTTATAGCAGAGGGATCCAAGGTACAGATAAGTTGAGTGCCTTTCTCAAGACCTCACAGCTAGTGAGCCAGGAAGGACTGAGCGCCGACCTGCTCTTTTTGAGACACGGTTTCTCTGTGTAGCTTTGGAGCCTTTCCTGGAATTCACACTGTAGCCCAGGCTGGCCTGAACTCACAGAGATCTGCCTGCCTCTGCCTCCCCAGTGCTGGGATTATAGGTGTGCGCCACCACCGCCCGGCTTCAGACCTGCTCTTTAAAATGAGCATGGTCCTTATTCCCAAATTCCTCTTCCATATCTACTCTCTCTTCACTCCGCAGTGAAAATTTTAAAGAGGAATTGTCCACACAGCTGCTGACACTTCAGGGAACCTACTCAACCCTGTTACAGATTTGCTCGCTGTCAAGTGCTCTGGCCTGCCCTCGTTTCTGTCCTATGGGAAGCAACCAGAGGGCTATGGCCTGCCCTCGTTTCTGTCCTATCGGAAGCAACCAGAGGGCTCTGGCCCTTCTTTCATTCAGCACCTTCCTTCTCTCATTCAGGCACCCTTCAGAGTTGACACTTGCACCGCGGTGGTTGGTTCTTCATGGTCTCTTTCTCCTCTTTCCCACCTCCACCTCCTTTGGTCCCATCTCCACCGCTCCCAGTAAGGGGAATCTCTAGGCTCTGAGTAGCGGTGTGCCAGCCTCCTTCTGGTCTTTGGGGGCACACTTGGGCCACACCCACTTCCCCCGGAACGTCTCGGTGACAGTGCCCAGATTGGGATCCCATGGTGCACCTACCGCTCACAGTCCGGGCATGCTGTGGGGCCGCCTGCCTGTGGCCCCCTGCCCTCCCGACTCCCTTTCCTTCAGCAGGTGACACCTGCCACGTCCATGTCAGGAGGCGATCAGAGCTGAGGGCAGAGTTGCCGTGACAGTTTCGGGACCATGGCACCGCTCAGGAAGGGCAAGGGGCCTAGGACCTTGGTGGGTTCTGCAGTGCGAACCCGCGTCCTGAAGCTCGCATTTGGGTATCTGTGGGTGCTGGGCAACCAACTGCGAGCCGCTGCCTTCTCTCACTCAGAGGGCAGGAGCGTCCTCAGTGCTAAGAACTAGGCTAGCGGATAGAAGCCCAGGGAAGCAGGTCGGGTGGGGCTGGGCTGAGCTGGTTCCTGAGGCCGGCCGAGGGCGGGGCGAGCGCTCCTCCCCCGAGGAAACTGAGACCCAGATTGCATCTGTTGGGTTCACGGTGCTAGCTGACTCCCGCAGTGACCGTATGCGTGAGGTACTCAGTACAATGCAGGGACACACATGCAGTGTTGAGCTCCAGTCTGAGATCCCGCACGAGAGGAAAAGCAGCAAGTCTGAACCTTAACCACAGTGGGTTCTTGCAAAGAGTCCAGCCTCCTGCAGGCTCGGCCAAACTGTGGATGGTGCAGTCAGCAGTGAGATGGTGCAACTCTGCTCTCAGCCTGGGTGCAGCAGGGAAGTGGTTGTGCTTGTAAAGCTAAATGCACACATCATTTCACACACACACATACTCACAAGCGTTTTACACACACATGCATATATACACAACACACACACACATGCACACAAGCACACGGCTTCCCTAGTGCTGATATTACTAGCATGAGTCACCTTGCTGGGGTTTGTTTTGGACACTTGTCTAGCCCCCACCCACGGCAGGCCCACTCTGGCTTCAGGTTTCTAGCAGTCAGGTGATGCTGCAAGACTGGGCTGGGCATCTGGCTGGCCTTTGGAATAAAGACTCTTGGGGTTTAACTTGGAAAGGGGAACATTTGCCTGAAGACAAGTATTGTGTCTCAGGACCCCTTCTCCCCAAAACACAACCTCCGTGATCTGTGTAAGTCAGAGGCGGTCTCTGAGGGCTTTCCATTCTTCTTTTATATTATCTATCTATCTATCTATCTATCTATCTATCTATCTATCTATCTATCGACAGGGTCTTGCTATATAGTTCAGGCTGGTTTAGAATTGGTGACCCTCCTGCCTCTGTTTCTCAAGTACTGGGATCACGGGCCTAGCTTTGGCCTTTCAATTCTAATAGTAAAGGATTCTATGAGCTCCCTGTGTCCCTGGTATTA